TGTCTCTTTGCGGAAATCGCTGACGAGAGTTAAAGGAAACGACACGTGGGGAGTGTAGGGTATATAGGGTTTAGGCTTTAGGGCATATAGGGTTTAGGGTTTAGGGCTTAAGGTTTTGGGTTTAGGGTTTAGGGGGAGTTGACTTCGAGTTACCATATCGTAAACCCAAAAGACTGGAAACCGGACTAAGGACAATTTGTGCTGGGATTCCCGATACGTTGCTCCTAAGGATTGAGGCTGTTGGCTTTCCAACTTACTGTATAGGGAGTTGACTTCAAGTTGTCAGAATACGAAGCTATAGTCAAGGATATGGATACTTTCTGATGGTAACTATTAATATGGCTTAATTGCGTATATACCACATTTTTTTGATATGGATCCAAATCATGGCAGCTTGACTTAAGTTCCTTAAGAAGAGCCTTTTGAGGACCCCTTAGAAGAATCCCAAAAGTATAGTAGCTTCACCTAAACCCTAAACTCTAAATCCTATATAAACCTAAGTTCCTGAAGAAGAGCCCTACAAAATAGAATAGCGTTTTGGGCCCCATTATACTATAATTACAATAAGGAACCCAAAAATAATATAGGTAATTATCGGGGCCCCTGGACCCAAGTTCCTTTAAAAAGAGCACAGGTTCAGCAACTGCATGGCCCGGTTCTTTGCATTCAGCCAGCCAAGATCCAGCAAGCAGAGGTGATACTTGCCATGAAGCCTCAAGTTCTTTGAGGTTTGGGGTTTAGGGTTTGGGGTTTAGGGTTTAGGGTTTAGGATTTAGGGTTTAGGGGCAAGCGTCCAAGGATCCAAATATTTTTGTTTGGGATGGTAGTTATGTAGGCTACTTTTTGGAGAGGAAAAGATACTTAGGTACTTGGACCCTTAGGGTCAAGCTCTTTGGGGTTTAGGGCTTTGGGTTTAGTGGTTTTGGGGTTCAGGGTTTAGGGCTAGGGTTGTGATACTGTAGGAACCTGATTAAGCCACCTTGGTCCTGTAAGCCCAGAATGTTAGGATCCGTATGGGTAGTTCTCCAAATTAGGGTCCTTTTTAGGTCCCCAAAATAGTACGGCACCCTGACAAAAAAGGACCCTAAAAGGCACCCTAATTTAGAGGAGTACCCATATAAAGAACCCAAATAAAGACCCAAGGCCTTAAACCCTAAACCCCAAAAATGCCGGGATCCCTATGAAGAATCCAAATAAAGACCCGCAGGTCTCTTAGTCAGGTTCCTATGTTGCTTGCCATGAAGACTCGAGCTCTTTGGGTTTATGCCTTAGGGTCTAGGGTTCGGTTTAGGGTCTAGGAATCTAGGGTTTTGGGGTCAAGATTTGTGGGAACAGGTCCGTCGGTGTAATGTGTCACATCCCCATCATGTTCGATGCAGGTTTGGGATCTAGAGCTGGTACTTTGGTTAGGCCCGAGTGGTCCTTGAATCGGATTAGGTTTGACGCTGGTCATTAGAGCTTAGGGCCTCAGAGCTTGATGGCTTTGCTACTTTTGTTGACGGGAAGTCTTGACATTGCAAACTCCAAGTGCATCGAACAGAAGTAAGCAACGTAAAGCCCCACCACATGTCCGTGAATTCTTCACTCTCCTACATCCGGTTGGCGCAGGCCCTCTTACTATGCCAAAACCCCATTCCCTTTTCCGAAGTCGTTATTATAATTTGCATCGTAATCTGTTGGCCTTAGGACATTGATATTTGCTCATCTGGGTCTTACACTTACAAACCGTCAAACCCTGAACTTCGCTGTGGAGCCGCTTCGGAAGTGGTGGCAACAGCTCCGCCAGCAGATTCCACCGCCGAAGGCGCAGCTGGACGCCGTTGCGCTGGGCATTTTGCCCGACGAGTCGTAGCACCTGAAGGAAAACCCTACAAGCCCCGAATCCGCCAACCCCAAAACCCGAAGATCCCAAAATCTGAATAGCGCTGTATATAAGTCATTGTATAAGTCTCTTACCCTGAGACTTCAAGTATACAACTAGTACCTACTTTGGGGGTTTAAAGTCTATATACGGTACCTACTTTGGGCCATTTGGAGTCGCAGGGTTAGGGAATCTGGACGTTTAGCGCTCAGGAGCTGCATACCTGCATACCATTTAGATCCTAGCAGCCTGGATGATCCACCAGTGGACGGTAAGTCATATATCCTACGGTAGACTACCTGATTGCCATGGGAAGCTTGAGAGGAGAGTCGGAGGAACGGCTGTGTACTAGCTTCTAGCCAGAAGTTCAACGATAAAGGATGCGCAAGCACAAGGAAAACAAAAACAATGCATGCACACACTCGTACATGTATGTGTGCTTTTTTAACTCTACGGATCAGAATAGCGCAAGAGCCTTACACAGTATGGTCGTTAGGCCCAAAAGGCCTTAAAACATCAGTCCTTAGAGCCGTAGGGTAAGCATACTGTAGGAGCCAAATCATTAGAATAGGGTTTGGGGGCCCATTATACTACAAATATACTAAGGAGCCCCCCAAAAAAACAAACAAAAAAAAACAAAAATAGTATTGGTAAATATTATAAGGCCCCTATATTCCATGCAGACCTTCCAAGAGATTTCCGTTGCGGTCACGTTGTGTCCGGCTCGTGCCGCAGCGATTGAGCTCAGGCCCAAACCTCGGTTGTCTTCAAGGAGCTCAGCTGGGGTTTAGGGTTTAGGGTCAGTGTTTGGGGTGTTCGTTTTGTAATTCAAGCTACCATAATAGCGAAAAAGGCAAAACTTAAAACACAAAACAAAAAATGTTGATAAACAACAAAAACGACACACTCAAAAACTGCAAGCCTTCTACCTATACCCTTCAGAGCCTTGTCTGCAAGCCCCAAACCAGAAAGTTCGTGCTCTATGAAGAACCCAGGATCCACAACTGACGTCGAGGATCTGCAAATCTCCTCGAAATGGGTGTAGGGTTTAAGGCTTAGGGTTTAGGGTTTAGAGTTCAGGGTTCAGGGCTTAGGGGATAGGGCTGCAGACGTTTTGCAAGGTTTTAGGGGTTCGGGGCCTTAGTCGAGAGTTGTTTGTAACCCTAACGGTGCAAGTGCCCAGATACTACATACTTTGGCCGTAAGGTATTCCCTAAATTGTGCTTTGCGGGCCAGTGTATGTATTGTTTGGGTACATGGACCCTTAGGGTAACAGTGTAGGTTGTTGCACTTCGAGGCTGAATAGGGGTTCCAGAGGTTACCCTAAACCCTAAACCCTAAACCCTAGACCCTAAACCCGGTCTACCAATCACAAAAGCTACCCTGAACCCGGAACCGCCTGAACCCCCCTAAACCCTAAACCCTAAACTGAGTACCCTAGTACAAAGAAGGTTCGCCTTTTCAGCTCCAGTAGTCTTATATAAGCCCTAAGCCCTGAACCCAAAACCCCAACCTAGCACAAAGAAGGTTAGCCTTTTAAGCTCTAGTAGGGCTATATAAGCCCTAAGCCCTGAACCCAAAACCCCAACCTAGTACAAAGAAGGTTAGCCTTTTAAGCTCTAGTAGGGTTATATAAGCCCTAAACCCTAAACCCTATAAGCCCCAAAAGGCTAACCCCAAACAAACCCTGAACCCTGAACCGGGCCTCTAAGTCTTAAGTTCAGCTCTCCCAGCAACTCTCAGCCTCCAAGCCCCAAACACAAACTTCTGAAATGCCGTTATTGGGTTTAGGGTTTAGGGTTCAGGGTTTAGGGTTTAGGGGTTACTGCGCAAAAGCCTCACGCTTTGAGCCAGCATTCATAAACAACAAACTATACTAGGGTTTAGGGTTTAGGGTCTAAAGTTTATAGGGATCAAGGTTTATGAAAGATGCCACACGGACGATCCAGAAGCTCATTGAATTGTAGGTCAACTACAACAAAACTTCGGAATTGCTTCAGCCCTGCACGCTCGCCTGGACGCTGACCTGGATGAATTAAGTGCACATCAGAAACCCCTAAACCCTCAACTACAGAGTGGACATTCACTGGGAGCCGTGCCCTTATGATGCCTGCAAGGATTTAGGGTTTAGGGTTTTAGGGTTTAGGGTTTTAGGGTTTTAGGGTTTAGGGTTTAGGGTCTACCGTGAGATGGCTGTAACCTAAGACCTTCCCGTTCAGAGAACTACTTGGTTCCAGGAAGTACGCTACCGACTCCTAAGGACGCGAGAAAGGGTTTAGGGTTTAGGGTTTAGGGTTTAGGGTTTACCACCTTAGAAGGATTACCCAACAGCCACCAAACGAAGACGACGCAAACAAAACAAACAACCCGCACCCCGAGAGTATAGAAGCCTTAATGCTGAGAATAAGGCTTTTGGGGTACCTTCAACTATATCTGTATCTGTAATCCTAGACTGGTCCCTAGTCGCTATCAGCTCCTAAACCATAGTCCCAAATTGGTCCCTAAACCCTAAACCCTAAACCCCAAAAACCAAAAACCCCCAAGCCCCCCCGAAACCCCCCAAACCCCGCTAAACCCTAAACCCGAATGAAGCCCTAAAGCCCAAAAACTCCAACCCACTCCTCCGAGGAAAGATCGAAGCTTCCCCGCGCCCTCCTCCCATCCATTCTCCTCAGCGTCTCTCACGGCACCTGGGTTAGGGGTTTGTTTTTGTTTTAGGGGTTTAGGGTTTAGGGTTAAGGGTTTAGGGCCTTAATAATTAGAATAGGGTCGAGGGGTATACTTATGATAAGGAGCCCCCAAAATAGTATGGCTAATTATTTCGGCACCTGGGTAAGAGCTTCCCGCGTCGACGGCTGCTAGCTTTTAGCATGAATACACACAGACAGCTGAAATAGATTTAACATGTACATATGTATATAAAAATAGTTTCACACAGGTAGTTCTACTGTCAGTATTAACGTTTTTGGTGTCGTTGTTCCTGGTACCGGTAAACACAAGCTTACTCTTACGATACCACTGACGTTGGTTTTCGATGCTTCTGAATGCTGGATGATGTTGCTGTTGACCGTTCCGTCCTAAACCCTTAACCCTAAACCCTAACCCTAAACCCTAAACCCTAAACCCTAAACCGTAAACCCTAAACCCTAAACCTAAACCCTAAACCCTAAACCCTAAACCCGAAGCCTTGCATCGGTGTTCCACCCGTGAGTTCGAGCAACCTCACCACCTCGACCACACTCATCCCTAAATCTTCAAAAAAGCACCCAAACCCTGGGTTTAGGGTTTAGGGAAACCCTCAACCCTAAACCGACAAAACACCAGAGTACAAAACCCCAAAGACCATCCAAAGCATGAAGCTTAACTAAACCCTAAACCCTAAACTTAGACCAAATCTAGGACCCCAGAAATGCATACACCCTGAAAGGCTAACCGAAACCAAATCAGACTCCACTAAGTCACTAAGACAAACAGAGCTGCCATGAAGGTCGGCCATTAGGTGGCCAAAGATCCAGCCTCCTGGCCAGAAAGTGGAGAACTCCTCCAGCACTGAAATATTAAGGCTTTGTGAGGGGCTTCGGGCGTTTACGGTTCGTTCATTTGGGGTTTACAGATAAGGTTAGGGGCTCGGGATGTACTGTTTGGAATTTCGGGTAATTTTGGGGCCTTAACTAGAATAGTGCTTTGGGGCCCATTCTACCACAATTAAATTTAGGAACTCCAAAATAGTGTTGGGAATTGTTTATTACCTATAGTCTCCATTGTAGTTCCTTTTTTGGTTTAACCATTCACATATTAAGGATTTTATCAGAGATCCCCAAAAAGGAACTACAATGGAGACTATAGACCCCCCCCCAACCACCCACCAGTTCCGTAGATTCCCGTGGACTGAACTCCTACTCTTGAAGGGTCACGACGTGAGCCCTGTGCACCCTATATGAACCCTAAACCCTGAGCCCTAAACCCCACACCCTAAGCCCTTTTCCACTAAACCCTAGGGTTTAGAGTTTAGGGTTTAGGGAATGTAAGCCCCTAACCCTAAATCGAAAACCCTCAACCCGAAGCCCTAAACCCCTAAGCCCTAAGCCCGTCCTAGAAAATATCGATTTGGGATTACGGTGCTACTGGGCATCGGATTCCAACTAAGAGGACCTTCTAGGAATCGGACACCATCGCACCCACCGGCCCCACAACAACGGTTTCGAGGTTTTGTGTTTAAGGGTTCAGGGTCTAGGGCTTAGGGGTTTAGAGGTTTAGGGTTCAGGGGTATTCTTGTAACTTTAAGGATCTTACAAACACCAAAATATGGCGGTTTCATATGAAAAAGATAATTGAATAATCCCAAAAACCCTAAACCGGCTGCACGCCAAGGCATCCAAAACCCTAAACCCTAAACCCTAAACCCTAAACCCTGAACCCTAAACAACAATCATCTGGAAAGCACTCTCGGGTCCTCTGTCTGCAAGACATCGTAGCCCGACCTCAGCCGAAGGCGGCCAGCTTTCCTTAGGTTGCTGAGTTCATAAGCCACAAAAAGTGTATTTAGGGTTTAGGGTTTAGGGTTTAGGGTATTCAGTTTTATAGTGGGTAATATTAGCCCAAAAAGTGTAAAGTGGATCCACTGAGCTACTAAGTTTCGGAACATCGAAGTGGACGAGGGCCGATGGCTCCGCAAAGCCAGTGTAGGGAAGGCCTCGAAGCCGCGGGCCATACTCAAAGACACAGCAGTTCTCCTTAGACTTCTCCTTTCAGTAGGCCCCCCCAACCCAGGTTTCCCTCACAGTTCAGGCGCAGTTTATCTTGATACTAAGTTACTCACCCCCCCTAAACCCTAAACCCTGAACCCTAAACCCTAAACCCTAAACCAAAGAACATGAATTGCACAAAAGAGCGACCAAGTCTCAAAGGTGATGCCAAACTCCTTGTCCCAGCAAGCTGGCTCCATGAAGGACTTGTACCAAGGGCTGCCCTGAGTATCTCTTGTACAAACTCCGGGTGCCCTCTTCCTCCCACGTCAAGCTTCGTCATCGAAGCGGGAGAAAAGGAACAAAAAAAACAACCACAACCCCAACGCCAAGCAAGCCATGAGTCGCGCCTAAACCTAGAGTCACCAAAACCCCTAAACCCTAAACCCTAAACAGAAACAAAAAAAGCAACGAGCCCCTTGCGGCGAAGATTCAGGGTCCCGGCAACACTTGCCGTATCCCACGGGGTACCTTGGATCGGAACCCTCCGGCTGCCCCTGCTTCCGGCGGTCTCTACCCATTGGCCCCATGATAGTTCCTTTTTGTGGCTGATATTTAGGGTTTAGGGTTTAGGGTTTGGGATCCTATTAGGGAATCCCCAAAAGGAACTACTATAGGGC